GTTGTCCCTATTTGAACATTTTTGCAATGATTTTCTTTTTTTGGGATTTTTAGCGATTTTGAGAAAAAAATATCTTTTAACTTTGGTGTGAGCGCGTTAAATTATTTCGATATTAGGTGTGTCTGGTTACCCGAAAATTTTTAACAATTGTTACAAATTGTTACTGGAAGTCGTCTGTTAACCCGAAAGTTCTGCAAAAGAGAGCGGTTGGAGAGAGAATTTTTGACAGTTCTTTCAGTGAGAGTTTACAAATTCTTGCTGGACAAATTTTTTCTTGCAATCTCTTGCAACTCTTCTTCTTCTCATTCATCGACATTCAATCAGATGTTTTCTATTGTTTATTTATTTCTTTTTGTGATTTTAATTCGAAAATATTATTTTGGAATTAGCAAGACTAATTGTTTTTAGAGAACAACTTTACAAAATGTGAAAAACGTAAATGTTAATATGTAATAAGAAAATAAAAGACTATTTCCAACATTTTATTTAAAAAACTTGTAAAATTAGAATTGCTTCCTTTTTTTATTTTTTCTCATTATGGGGGACAAATTGGTTTGTTTTGATAAATCAGCTGATTAGTTGCAAGTTTCTGCAGGAATACCGTCTGTTTACTTTTCGCATTTTCCTTGCAAAAGAGAATAAAACTACCTTACTCTCTCAGAAAGAAGTTACTGGACAATTCCTGCTGGAAAAGTAACCAGACACACCTATTATCTATTCCGTTTCGCCACCACATAATTCGGTACTACACTTCCATGTTACCCGCCTTCTATTTCAGTTCTCAAAAAAATCAAGTCAATTAAATAAATTGGTATTAATATTCGAATTCAAAAATAAAATATAAAAAAAAACACTACAAATGTACATTAAAAAAAAATCCAAAATGGAAAATAATGCAAAATAAAACATTACTATTGTACATCACATTTTTACGCGACTTATTTTGGATTTTTTCCTTTTCGGCCTGGAGACAATTCCGAATTTGTATGAATCGTTAAAATCAGCCCAGCCGTTCTTAAGTTATAAGCGTAGTAACTAACACAACTTTCTTTCTTTATAGATGATAGTAGGCGTGGTTAGTTCCTATGCCCCCAAATAAATACTTAGGGTTGGATGGGAAGTCAGCAGTATCTCGTGTAATAATTTTCAACCAGATATCTTCATTATTTTGGCAAATATAAGAATTGTTGATAAATCGTAATAGTGGGCGTAAAAGTGGGCGTGGTCAATATTTTTTCTTTAAAAACCTAACTCGGGGTATGACGAACGTTTGTACAAAAAATTATGCAAATCGGTCCGGCAGTTCTCAACTGATTCCATTACCAACGATCAACAATTGTATTCGCATTTACCGCTCGATGAAATTTTGCACCGTAAATTTAGATATAGCTCGATTCAGATATAGTTATAGCTTTGTTATTATGCGTCATTTTAATTTATATCTTCTGAAATGTATTACATGCACTCCATAGCGATCTAATGTAGTGCGGGTCACATACAACATAAATATATTTCCGTCAATTTAAGTAAAATATATTAAGACTAGCTGAACCCGGTGCGTTCCGCTACCCCTTTTGATTTTATATGCATTCAAAATTTTATTTACGAATATATGTTGGATAAAGAAAAACTAATTTAAAAATTAAAAAAAATATTGCACTAATTTATTGCGTTAATAAACAAAATCATTACAAAAGCAGTAACATGACATGCATACACGAAGGGTTTGTCCTTTGGATTTATTTATTTCATAGCAAATACCAAGCGTGCAGGAAACTGCAATTTTTTTAAGTAGAGTGGCATTTCTATTGCAAGTAGTGAATTCGAGATAGCAACATACTTCGCCGTAATAAGCGTATTTCAAATAAATTGTTGTGTTGTTTTTTAGTGTTAGCCTAAGGCGTTGTGGGTCAATGGTTCTTATTAAAATCATATCCCAATCTGATCCGATTTAAATATAATTTAAAAAAAAAATTACTTTTACACCAAACTCCGCTACACCTTTCATATTTAATTGAAATTGGTGCGTCAAATATGTGAAATCGGCCGAGAATATATATATGGGAGCTATATCCAAATCTTAACTAATTTCCAGTTAATTTATCACATTTATTATTATAACAAAATTCCGACACACATTCTGAATTTCATTGGAATCGGTCATATATATCGTGTTTGGTGCATAATATGTATGAAATCGGCCGAAATATATATGTTAGCAAACCTCAACTGATTTCAATATAATTGTGCAATTTTTGCTGGTGCCAGATTTTGTCTCTCTCGCTTTGGGTGCATCAAATATGTGAAATCGGCTGAGTATATATATGGAGCTATAATCACATCTGAGCGTATTTGAATATAATTTGTCAAATGTGCATCAAATATGTGAAATCGGCGGATAATATATATGGGAGCTATATCCAAATCTGAACCGATATTAATATAATTTGACCAATTTATTTTCTAATCAAAATCCCGTTACATATTCCAAAATTCTTGGAAATCGAACATACATATCGTGCATGGTGCATAAAATACTTGAAATCGGTCGAAAATATATATGAGAGCTATATCCAAATCTGAACCGATTTTACTATAATTTGAGAAATGTATATTCGTTTTAATTTCCCCTACAGATTCCAAATTTCATTTAAATTAGAGATTGGGAAATAATTTTTTTTAGATAAAATCTATCACACGTTTCAAATTTCATTGAAATTGGGGATACATAGCGTGTTTGGTGCATCAAATGCTTGAAATCGGCCGAAAATATATATGGGAGCTTTATCCAAATCTGAACCGATTTCAGTATAATTTGACAAATTTATTTTCGGATCAAATCCCGTCACATATTCCAAATTTCATTGGAAGCGAACATTCATATTGTGTTTGAGGCATCAAATGAACGAAATCGGTCGAAAATATATATGGGAGCTATATCCAAATCTGAACCGATTACAATATAATTTAGCAAACTTATTTTTGTTCCAAATTCCGTTACACATTCCAAATTTGGAGACTGTATCTTTAACCGATCAATAGATATGTGCATATAAAATCTAAATTTTTGGGAGGTACCTCCGATTCTGATGCTATATCTCCAGTTCCAAGTGGAAATTCAAAAATGTATATAGCCTATGTTACTTTCAGGCGATGTTGCAGTATATATGGAAATTTTCAGAAAAATCTATTCAGCAGTTTTCGAGTCCATAAATTACAAACAAACAAACAAACAAACAAACAAACGTACAAACATTTTCCTCTTTTATAGATATAGATGTAGCTTCCATATGATTGTTCCATTCGATTGCAAATTTAATCCGCTTTAAAGCAGCCAATAACTTTGGTATGATAAATTTCAATTGTTACAAATATTTGTACTAAATTTTTATGGCTGTGTAGGGTATCAAATTCGGCTTTTGTCTTTTTTGTTTTTTTTTTTTATTTAACATTTCATGCCCACAAATTTTGGTGAATCCTTCAATGAAATTATATGTAACTAAAATTTGCACCTTGTGGTTTGGCAATCTAAGTTTGATTTAACCGAAATACGTATGACTGATAGTGGGAACGTATGATACCGTCGCAGCGATTGGTTTAAAATTAAATATTTTAGGAAATTTCATTATTACCTTTTTGTTTAATAATCCAAATTTAAAGACATATAATTTTTTAAATATTTTGGACATATATCTCTGAGACTAACATTACCATAGACAAATGAAGATATAGACAACGAAAAGTTGGTTCGAAACACACATTTTATCATTTTTCAAGAATTTTACTTGATTATTCCGGGATTTTTCGATGTCATCACGTACTTTTCACATTTTTTTTGTTATGGAACAATTTTCAATTGACAAATATCCTATAGTTTTCGTTATTTTTAACGTTTTAGAATTGAGTGACTTCAATATTATCACTCAAACCCCTGAAACGGTATAGACGACATCTGCTGATCCGATTTTTTTCCAAATATAAACGGTGAGAGCATTTTGTTGTATATATTTAATTTGTCTATGACATTACTTACAATAACAAATTTCTATACGGTTGTTGGATTATATATGTTGTAGTTTTATTTCTACCTTCAAATAATTCTACCACGGGTTATTTGCCACGAATATATTTATTGATATGCAGCTATAATTAAATCTGATTTCAAATTTAAAATCCTGTGAATTTGTAAAAACGCACCCTAATACGATTATAGTTGCTATGATTTACTTAACACAAATTATCAATATAAACGCATATTCGTTACTGTGGCTAAATATGCTTAGTCGCCTTGGGTGTCTGATTGTTGACCAGCTCGACTTCTGTTCTTTTTTTCTTACATATTTTTGTCATTTCGTTTGTAAAACCTCAAAATATAAATTTTACATCCAACAAATTGAATATATATTCTTGATCAGCAAGATATTCTATGTCGATTTAGCTATGTCCATCCGTCAGAAACCATTCAAGCTTCCGAACGATATGAAGTAAGTTGATAAAATTTATTTTAGGTCTGCAGGCTGTTAATTAGTAGTCTGTGTTTCCAGTATGTAGCAAACATCCCTGCATAGAATTGTCCAGGTGTCACCTTCTATAATTGTATAATCTCTATACAATGCCACCTCCATATATTCGATATTTTATTTTCGATTTTTCAATGGAATTATTTCAAATTTGGAAAATAATAATATGAACCTACGATATTTTACTACATTTTTTAACAAAGTTGTCTCAAACGTTGTATTTGGAGTTTATAATAGGCAACACCTTCTCTGGTAGATAATTGGGTGCATAAATCCAAATTTTCGTATATTCCTATGTAACTGATATCTGAAATGTATTGCGGAATTTTTCAACGGATTTTTTTACAATTTGCATGTTTCTTCCAAATTGAAGCTTTTTTACTTGTTTTTAAATTGTTTCATACTCCAACAAAACCACAAACTTCAAAACTACAAATCGGTGGAATATAAATTGTTATCTAGGAATTAAATACTATTTCATTAGATTGTCTACTCAGTTTGATTTATTATTTAGTTTTAAAATAGTTTCATGAAATTTTTCAATCATTTGCTGATTGTCCTTATAACCCACAATTTCTTTAGCGGCTTCTTTATTCAACCATTTCAGTTCTGTGTGTTCTTCTGAAAGTACAGGTTCTTTGGATACATCTTTTAATTCAGCTAACCAATAAATTACTGATTTTGGTTTCCCTCTTACTTCATAGTTCAAAGTTATTGGATTGTCCTTGTAAATAATAAGGTCGTCTTCGGAATATCTGAATATTAAATGCATTAGTTTATAAGATATGACAAGAGCAGATTAAAACTCACCCAGCTTCCTCTTGAGTTTCTCTGACAGCCGTTGCATAGTCATCTTCGCCTGGATCTACGTGTCCCTTCGGGGAACTCCAGTGAAAATCACCATACGATGCTTTGAGTAGTAAATACTCAACTTCATCTCGTAATCTTCTAAATATTACGAACCCGGCAGCTCTTTTACCCATTTTATAGACAGTTTTAATTCTATTAGAATTAGAGTTGTACAGTTCGATTGAACGTTTTAGTTCAAGGCACATATAATAGGTAGTCGCATGGCAATAACAAGGTGTTCCCTCAAATATTAAAAACCTGATGTAATGTCAAATTTTTTTTACACTTTTTTGGTTATTGTTTATCTTATGTTCTGTGATCTTAATCACAATAATGCATTTGACATAACATTCAGTAGTCAACTAACGTGGAAGGGGGACATAATACTTGGCCCATGAGTATTCGTATCAACGCAGCTGGACTGTTAATCTATCGCGTATCAATTTAAACGCCGTTAGAGAGTGTACCTTCTCGTAGAATACAACCCATGGTAAAATTAAAAAAGTAAAGTCATTTCAAATAAGCATTCCCATCTTTGCATTTTCTTTAATTTAGTTTGTCGTCTGGACGGTTAATCTATCTTATATCAATTTGAACCCCCCTAGAGAGTGTAACCTTTTCGTTGAATAAAACCCATGGTAAAATTAAGAATGTAAATTCATTTCAAATAAGCATACCAATCTTTGAATTTTCTATATTTTAGTTTGTCAAATTTCACTGCATTGAAAGCAGGTTCCCATCTCTGATTTGTGTATGTACAATGGATTTATAAATATACATTTTGACAATGAGATGTTAAATGAATGAATTAAAAAAAAAATTGTAAATATATGATTGCATGACTTTACCTTCTTATGCCATGTTTACGTTAGAACTTTTTGTAGGGTTAACCTACTTTGAGAGGATTTATTTGAAGTAAAAGTAATGGATATGACAATTTAAATCCAAATCCAGTGGGTTAACCCTCATATGCATAAACGTACTGTTATGCTACCATGGTATTATAAAATAAAGGTAAGCTGATTTCAAATTCGCATTCCCACCTTTGCATTTTCTGTAATTTACCTTTTCAAATTTCAATGCATAAAAACACTTCCCAACTCTGATTTTGTGTGTATACAATGGATTTATGAACATAGATTTTGACATTGAGATGTCGTCAAATGTAAAAATTTGAAAAAAAATGTAAACATATGATTACGTGACTGTGCCTTCTTAGGTCTACCATGGATAAAACTAGGGAAGGTTGAAAATCATTTGAGGCAGCTTGTTTTGCAAACCGGTATCTTATCAATGCGACATCTCGTTGATAAAGACCATATTGGGGCATGATAGCAGCGAACCGAAACAAACGAAACGATTAACGTACCATCTCACGAAGCAACCAAGGCCCACTAAATAGGTCGTCCCATTAGCCCAGCTGATTTCGCCCATTCCGTCAAAATACATTTGTTTATATTTGGAATTCGCCAAAAAAAAAATGACAAGCCTTCATTATACAATAGGCCTGTCTGGTTATTTTCCTGAAGTAACTGTCTAGTAGTTCCTTTCTGAGAGTTTCATTCTCTTTTATACTCAGCAGATTTATGAAAAACGAAGCAATAAAAAGAAATGAAGTACAAACAAATTTAAATTAAGCCGGAAGACTATACAATTAGGCTTGTGATTACTAAAATAAATATGTTTTAAATGTGCTTACCCAAACCTAAAGCACCGGAAGGAGAAGAATGGCAAATGATAGCAAGAAGAAATATGTCCAGAAAGAATTTGCAAACACTCAGTGGAAGCACTATCAAAATTCCTCTTTCGAGTAACTCTCTTTTGCAGAACTTTTGTGTTAAAAGTAACAATTGTTAAAAATTTTAGGGTAACCAGACACACCTAATTCTATTCGAACTTTACACAACCTAATAAATGTTCCTTGGAAGCAACTAACTTTTAAAAATTATTTAATAAACATAAACATTTAACTTTTTAGTTAGTCTTTACATTATTTGTACGTTTGCAATGATTATTGTACTGTTTCGTTCCCAAAGTTGCGTCACCCAGCAGAGTACATTTCAGTTCTGTTTTTGTTTCCACTCACCTACACAGTACAAAATAAGAAACAAGTCCCGTTATATTAATATCGGTTTTGTTTCGTACTTCGAGAAAATACAGAACGAAACGATTTTTCTTTTGGTGCCCTTATTCTGTTAAAACAAATGCATATTTTCTGTACGTGTGTGTGTATTGTTTTGAATAAAAATACAATAATTTGAAATTATTTCAAATTCGGTTGCAAAATAATGGTACATTTTTGAATAAGATATTTGGGATAAGACTGTATTGTCTAGTGAAGAATATGGTTCCGTTTTTTTCTGAAATTAATAAAAATTTTCATTTTTAATTATTGTTGAGTTCACGTAGAGCTGACTCTAAATTATTTAAAATATTATCATTATTATATTATTATATTTGCCTTGTTAAGGCGAAGATCATATGTTTTATGATTTAAGTGTTTGTTTTCTCTTTCGAGACGAGCTTAATGATCTGAAATTTGCAGTGAAAAGGAAAGCCAGATAGACACTGTCACACACTCACCACTATGCGACGCGTTTCGCCGTTGGTTAAGCGGCTCATCAGGCATATTTGATATGGATGATGGCTTACAAGGGCCGTTCTCTGGAAAGTAGTATATATTTCGAACTTATTGCAAATTAGCATATGCGAATTATACACTAGAAACTCTCCAGGTTCGACCCAAGTTCTATTGGCAGATCTTTTTCACAGCAACGTTTTGTTTTTGTAGTGATGGATTTTTTGTCCACAACAACTACATTGCTTCCAATGCATACACTTGTTTTAGTGCTGCTTTAGGAAGACGGGTTAATGGCTCTGAACGTAGAGACGGCAACTTCTAGTTGGCTGCACACAGAGGTCCGCGGTTCAAATCCCACAGCCAGGCTCGGCTGAATTTGGACAAAAAATCCATCACTACAAAAACAAAACGTTGCTGTGAAAAAGATCTGCCAATAGAACTTGAGTCGAACCTGGAGAGTTTCTAGTGTATAATTCGCATATGCTAATTTGCAATAAGTTCGAAATATATACTACTTTCCAGAGAACGGCCCTTGTAAGCCATCATCCACATCAAATATGCCTGATGAGCCGCTTAACCAACGGCGAAACGCGTCGCATAGTGGTGAGTGTGTGATAGTGTCTATCTGGCTTTCCTTTTCACTGCAAATTTCAGATCATTAAGCTCGTCTCGAAAGAGAAAACAAACAATTAACAAATTTAGTTTAGTAAAAACTCTCCAACACTACCACTGGAAAAATTAAAAAAAAAACAGTTGAAGAGTTTTTACTAAACTGGAGTTAAGCCAAATAATTTTTAATTTAGAAAGCTTTGAATAATTATTATAAGGAAATTTTAATTTATAGATGAGTCCGTTATGCCAGACCGAGTTAAAAGCAGCTTTTAGGTTCAACAGAACCATTCCTGTCCAGCTTTAAATTTTTCAAGGTCCACCTGTTTAAATCTTGAAAGAGGGTGAGCTGTATTATGTTATCTTCTGAACCCAATTTCTTTTGTGTTTATAAATTGCAGTACCTTATCTTTTATTGTGGATTCTAATATTTTACTCAATGACAACAATATATGGTCTGTTCCAGAACTATCAGTAACATCAAGAATGTAACAGTTTTCACTACGATAACCGATTTTCCCTTTATATTAGAGAAAATAGTAGGTTCTGGAATATTCCAATACTTATTGGTCCATAAGAGGAAGGGTAATATGGAGGCTTATTTGATTTTAGTAATGGGATTATTTTTGACCTTCCCAAACCGTAGGAAAGTAGGAACTCTTTAAGAATGAATTTAATGTAGACGATTTTCTAGTTTCTTTTTAGTAAGCTTTCAGTATGTTCTATGCTTATCAAGTAGTTTTCATCAATGCTTCAATTCATAGATTGCATTTGGGTCACAAGACTGTTAACCGTTACTGGTAAGTGATCGGAACATAAATCGTTAATAGCTTTTTGGAAATGCTGTGAGAAATTTCTCAAAAAAATATCAATGTTCGACGGTCGCATTCTTGGATGCGCTATTATAAATGATTGCTGAGGGGCAAAACTATTCCCAAGTTATTGTATTGAAGATTTTTATGAAGCATATTGCCCCACGTATTGTTCCTTCAGTCACCTCTCCAGGAAAATAACATTTGTAGATATATATGGTCCCGTTACCACTGCATATTTTTATATGAATACTTTCTATATTAGACGTGTTCCGTGGTGGAATCAACTGGCGTTGAATTGTTTTCCTAATAAGTATCGTCACCCCGCATTCTCTGCTAACATCACAATCTTTTGCTTTGGCATTTCATAATATAAAAACTTGCAATCTAATCTTGCGATGACCTCAATTTGGTCAGCTTTAGACTTACATTTACTTAAGTTTAATGTTAGTTCAAGAGTGAGGTTGATTGTTAGATTGATGATTTGTCCAAACTGGAACATTGTGGTCTAATTGTTGGTTTAAAGTTGTTGGTTTAAATTTGAAATTCCTAGCTCTATTGAATTGGATAAGCATTATTTTATCACTATGAGTTTCATAACGTTTCCTAATTTCTATATATTTATATATTTAGAACGACTAGGACATTCTGGTGATGTTACTGGATGGTCACCATTACAATTTGCACATCTCTACGCATTTAGAGCAAAACGTATTAACCATGGGAGAAGAAAGCAGCTAAAAATTTTGAATGAAAAATGATTAACATTTGTAAAAATTGTTGAAAAATGCATATTATATAACCTCCGATTGATATCGTATAAGAAAACTTATAAAAATCGACTTATTTTTGAAAAACGTTTTAAAATTTTGGTATTAACATTCCAACGGTGAGATCCTTCTCATTTGCGACGTTTTTTTTTCAATGCGAGTGGGTGCATGCAGATGTCGAATACTGAGAAAAAATGTTTTTGAGTTGTTGGAAGTTTACCGGTTGTTGTCACCACTTTGCCACAAATGTGATAAATATAGCAGTCGGGTTATTAAAGAAAATCAATATGAAGTATTAATACCGAAATACTGAAACATTAATTAGAGACTAAACCAGGCTTAGTAATACCTCGTAAGTGAAACTATTCATTCTAAAATATTTGAATTTTTCGAGAGTGAATTCAATCTT